ACGTATACGTATATATATATATATATACGTATATATATATCTCATATATATATATATTTTAAAACAAATCTTTCAACCAAGTCAAACACAAGAACTGTAAATTGTTCCATTTATTACTTTTTCAAAGCAATTTCTACAAAGTGGTGACGCATGAACACTTTCATTGTAAATGGTTTTGTGCTGTGGAGCTGCAGGGATCCATGATCCTCTGAGCCTCTGAGCTGAGACACCTTCACTTCTTTATGTAGCAAACTTCTTCTGGCGGACTGGTGCAGGCAGCTGAGACATGATGTCCAGCAGGGGGCGCTCCACTACAACCAGAGAATGGTCCTCCAGCAAGCTCACACACATGAGGTGCTGAAAATCAGGAGAACAAACCATGTCACATAAATGTAGTGTAGTTAACAGAGTCGCTGCTGGCTTAATCATTTAAAGATTATGGTTTCAGGTGGAAGGCAGATGTTTTCAGAGCGATATAAAATAGATATTAGAGATAAATTATGACCTGTTCCAACACTCGCTCTGAACACTTTCCTTTACTTTAATCAGTGCCAAAAAATCATCCGAGTTGTGTGTTTTTATGCAAACAACCACCATATATGAAATAAAGTCAAAGGACAACATGTAGAGCTTTTAGATGTGTTTTGCTGACTTTTGAAGTTATTGTTCAGGATAGTGATGATTGTAGATTTGATTTTAACGCACTGGTGGTGATCACAAGTTCAGGAATCGGAAAGGAATAAAATGGCATTGCAAGATAAAACTCAAAGATGCTGATTGGTAACTGGCCGGCTGGACACAAACAACTGACGAGCGCAGAATCTAATCTTTTTTACCAGACGCGGTTAAAGCATATGGTTTAATTTTGGGCAACATTTGAAATGAGAAATGTAGAACAAAGTGATTTTGTTGAAATACCAAATCTAAAAAGGTTCGATTTAGTTTATTTTCCAGACTGAAGAATTTGTACACACGATGTGTTTAAGGACGGTCAGAAAGTTGAAAATCTGACAATAATGTCTGAAATGACACCATTCATCGTAGGCTGAAGCGGTAAGAAACAAAGGCTCAAGAGGGCTCAACACACTCCCACCAACGCAGCCCCGTGTGCTGGGTGTGTCACTAGCAGAGCAGTTGGAGTAGAGCTCCACGGGGCTCGGGGAACCTACCTGGAAGTTCTTGCATATCTTGAAGGCGTGGCTGTGTATGATCCTCTCTGGCTCAGGAAGACTCCTCAGTGTCATCTGGTTGTAGAGCACATTCTTAGCTTCAGGGAGGGGCTGCATGTGGAGACATTACACACAAATATAGCATGAGGATTAATTAACCCCTCAATCCCCATCCGTCACTGAGAGGAAGACAACACGGCGCCGATAGAGCAACAGTCCTCACTCGTTATGTAAGGACCTGGCAGACAGGTGTTTGAACATACCAGACTCTGGTCGATGATGCAGAACATGAACATGTCGTGCAGAATGATGTGAGCTGGATTTTTGGGATTGAAGGCGACATGGGTGATGGGGGTGTCCCTCTCCAACCACAGAGAGTGCAGTCCTTGTTTCTGCAGCCTGCGACTCCACGCTGTGTACTCCTTCTGCACCAGAGAGTACTCAAAGATCTGACACACACACACACACACACACACACACACACACACACACACACACA